GTGACAAATATTACCTTATTAAGCCAAGTGTAATAAACAGAATATATCTTAATAAAATAGTCTATTATCCTCCCTAAACTCCTGATGAAATTGATAAGATGCTGACCTCAGTCTGGTGAGGTCGTGGGACTGCCAAGTGCTGTTTAGTTAATGGCTCTTGAATTCAAAATACTTCATTGCCGGAATGCTTGCCATTCAAATAGCAAAACTAATGCTGCTTGAAGGAAGCTGAAAATTTTTGACATGCCTTTTATATTTCCAGCCAGGATCTTCGACTCCCTGACTCCCGACGTGCGGTCGCGTGGCCAACTTGGAAGTTTTTGGAACAGAAGCAGCATGTTGGCAGCTCTCCCGTCAGTCTGTCATATTTCTAAGACCTATAAAATATATATACACACATTCCTAGTATATATATATATATAAATTTGTGTGTATTTTCTAACTGGGTTCCCTCCGTGAGCTCCTTTTGTTTTGTGCGTTTTTGTTCGTGTGTTTTGTTTTTCCTTCGCTGTGGCAACATATTTCACTGCATAATTTCCTAGCTGATGGGGACGCCACTCCACCTCCCCTCTCTGCCACTGTAGCAACGCATGCAAATGACAACAGCAACATCACGAGCGGGAAAAACAAGCAACACTAAAAAAGTTGACAAGGGGCAAGCCGCAACAAACGTCTAACTGACAGTTGTCGTTGGGTCCCCCCACTATCTATCTATTGTATATTTCAAAAAGGTATATCGAATATTACAAAAATGGGCACAGATTGTTAATAAAAATAAATCATTTTAGAAAAGGGATAGGAAAGTGCTAACAGGATTTTATTGGTTTGAAATGGGTACAAGGTTTAGTTATAAAATGTGATCTACCTAAGAAAACAAATAAAATTCTATTAAATAACTTGATAAATATTGTATGAGATATAAAAATAACATAATCTCAGCTAGGAATATATAAAATCTACATAGAACTTCATCAACAAAATCGTAGTTTCATAAAAGACAGAGCTAGTGACAAAAATTAATTCGAAATTAATTATTTCCTAAATATAAAGTTGGGATTAAGAAGCTATATTTACATAAATTAATATTAATTTAATTCAAAACAGTTAAAAAATTAAAGTTCCTAGTATCTCCCACCAAAACATCTCCTAGATAAACCTCCCTTCCTTTTACAGGATACCAAAAAGTCTTCATTTCTAGTACCAAACTCGGTTGGCAACCATTTTTTCTGCTCTGCGCTTGGCTTGTTATCATTTTTTAATAACATTGTTGCGCACAGCGGTAAAATTTGCATAAAACACACAGCGGGGCGACTCTGACGGGACAACAAACGATGGCTGGCCGCGGAGGCAGGGGCAAGACGGAATAGGAAATAAGGATACCGGAGACAGCGGCCAACATGTGGTATGAGTAATTTCTTGCTTAAGCACAAGACAATGACACGAGCGTGGTTTATGATTGTGCTTTTCTGGGTGAGCGTGTGTGTTTGTGAGGAAATGACGGGATTGAATAAAACAATTTTCATACAAATTCCGTGCATTTGCATAAATTTCATGCACTACGGAGGACGTGGCGATGTCGTCATTTTCATTCTCATCTACTTAGCAAAGTGCGATGCAACACGCATCCTCCACAAAGGACATCGGTGGTTGGTGGGAGCACAGGAGGACAGGACAGAGACTAACGAAGGCATCGGAGCATGACATTTCAGTGACGCGTCGAGTATCTAGCCCCTCCTCATTCCCCATTTGGCAGGACCTGTCCTCTGCCCCCAATGTCCTCCTCTCACGGCGCTTCACACGCCTGCAAAAGTTTTGCGGCAAACTTTTTTGTCGCTTTGGCAATAATCATAAAATTTCACTGCATATGAAACAAAAAACCATAAAAACTGTACAAAAAAGGAGCAGAAGAAACGTGATTGCAGCATAAAAGCGTCATTTACATGCCGTTGTCGCTGCACTTGCATCACTCTCCAAGCCAGCCAAGTGTCCTGGCTCCCATTCTGGTGCTGGTCCTCATCCTCCTCGTTGTCGTGTTCCTGGTCCATTTGCGCATGCGTCACAAACTTTTCCGTTTGCCATTTGCCGCCTCAATAGTTGCCAGTGCCAGGCCCCACGGCTTTATTGAGGTTTTGTTTAAGCTTTTAGCGTAGTTTCCACTTTTCGGGTGGATTTTCCCAGGGACGGGGACCCATTCCATTCCATTTGGCCGAAAAAAAAAGTTTTTTTCGGTGGTGTGTGAGTGTTTGGCCGGCAGCATTTTTGCAATTAGGCAACTGTTCTATACGAGAGAGTGTATTTCTTTTTTACTTTTTCCCTTAGTTTGCCAAAATGCAATGGAACTTTTCATTTTCGGCCACAGTTGCACAGAGTTTTCATTGCTAACAGCATTCGGCACACACACACACACAGAGACAGAAATTGGTGCGTAATTGAGACCGAATGTAAAGTGGACTCCGTTGGAGGCCATAACAGCTTTTTCGGATCCCTTTTCTTTCTATCGTCCTTTTTATTTTTTTGTAGAGCAATTTGAAGAGGAATATATATTAAATTATGAGTGGGGAATATATTTTTTAATTGGATATGATATTTTTTCGTACGAGTTTCAAGCGAATATTTCATTTGATGTTCATGTTTCAATACAGGAAAAAATTTAATGGAGGAATTATACAAAAAGCTAACTTTTTTGATATATTTTGCATTTTACAAACATTAATATTTAATTATCAAAGGTTGATTAAGCGAGAAAAATTACAATAAATATTAAAGGCTGATGAGAAACATTTTTGTAAATTTATTAAGTTATATTCCGCCTTTAAAGATGATTTCTGTAAATTGGAGCTATAATTTCCTGCAAACTTACCTCAGTCTTAACCTTTAACTCCTCACCTGCCTTTTGGAACATGGACATTACAAACGCGTATCGGGCCGTGTAATCTATTTGCTTGTTGAACTTGTGTTTGTCACTTCATTCCATTTAGCGCTAAGCAAGCGGAAGCCTCATCAATATGATGGTCGTGTCGCATTATCAAACATATTTATTTGGCAAACAGCTAGAGATATAAGCAGAAACAAGACGCCGGCAAAGCCGAGACATAAAGATAAACTAAGACGCTCTTATCGCCGGAGATGAAAGCAAGAAAAATGGCAAAGGAATTGCCAAAAGATACACGCACGCACACACGCCAGGATGCGGATGCTACTAGAAAGTGGCACAAAACGGCACGTGGACCCAAAGGAAATGAAGGAGGGACAGGACAGGACAGGACAGCATTGTGGATACGAAAATATTGCCCACGTTGACAGCTTAACGTACATAATTAATGTGACAATCTAAGGGAATGCGTGTGTCCGTGTGTGCGGACATTAATATATGGGCATTGGGCCAGATAAACATGTTGCCAAAATGATCACAAACACAACCAACCATGTGTGTGTGTGAGCACATCTGACGACGCTGGGCATTAATTACAGGCTGGGATGATGCTTTCTGGCCAGTGCTCAACTTAAACCGCCAACTCATTAAAGGAGCGCACAACTTTGGCGCAGCCAACTGGGCGTATGCGTGACGTGCGCTAAATAAAATTGAGAGACAAACAACAAACATTAAAAGTTTTTATTGTCCAAATGCGTTCTCGCCAAAAATATAACTGTGCACATCCGCAGACATACACACACACCCAGGGACAGAGCCTCCTTGTCGGCAACAAAAAGCATTAAATTACTTTATAATCCGTTTATAGCTTTGCCCGGAAGTGGTCCAGACACACACACACACACATACAAACAAACAAACAAGTGCCGGCAAACACTCCCATACACACGAACAGCCCCACACACTCGGGCTCTCTGAAGCGCCCCTTGGGAAGGCAGCTCAACAGCATAATCAAATCAAAGATTACGTTGAAACATTGAAATTACGTCCCGAGCAGAAAGCACTCATAATCATAGACACTACCACACCAACCAGGGCACACACACACATACAGAGACAAGGACAGGCCGACATGGGCCACTCTTATTTCCTCGTCCCTGTTGGCCGAAAATGAAATGGCTTTTCCGGCCGCACTCACAACTTTTTGATACTCCAGTTAGATGATAATTTTATCAACAATAAATTTTGGAGGGTCATCAAGCGTTATTTCATGGAGAGGTTCGTTTATAAACTTAACAAGAAATAATTAAAATGTAAACAATATTATACTATACTATATACTGTATTATAACCCTTAGCTAAATTAAATAACAGTTAAAAATAAGAAAAATATTGAGGATCTTTCACTAACAAAAATGGTTTACCTTCTTTCTTATATCTTTTTTTTTTTTTTTTTTTTTAAACCTCCCTTGAAACCCATCAAAATAATTAATTAAAACCGCTTTCATATACCAAAAAGTTTGCTTAATAAATTATTTTCATAGTTCTTAATGAAACCAAATTTGTTTTAATTCAAATTAAACCGTAGTTTTAAAACCATTTTTCTTTAAACTGATTGTTTCCAATTAATTACTGCTTGCAGGAATGAATCCTTAAAACCCCCATTATAAGTTGCCAAATGCTTTAACTGAAAATAACTTTTTCAAATTAATTACTTTTCATAGGACCCAATGAATCCCCTTTTTTTTTTTTTGAGAACCCCAAACTATACGTTGTTCGGCCGGGGTGCAAACAATTACAAACATAAAGCGAAAGGCTGTACAACTTTGACCCTGGAAAACGTAAACACCAAGAACTACGGAACTATGGGGCTACAAAAAAAAAATACAAGAACAACAACAAAAAAGCGGGGAAAGCGTAATAACTTTACTTCATTCATGCACACAAGGTGATTCATGTTCAAACACAACCTGCGCACTCTCTCTTTCGCTCGGCTTTGGCTCTCTCTGTTTCCTTCTCTTTCGCTCGGGTTGATTCCATCTCGCTCTCCTCGCACAGGGTGGCAACCTCACAAAAGTCGAAGCTGGCTGTGGCAAAAGCCGTGGCTTTTATCAGTTGGCTCGCCGACTTTGGCCTGTGAACGTCGTCGCCGCGCTGCTAAATTTTCCCACATTTTCCGAGATTTTTCCCCCTCATTGGTGTGAGTGTGCGGCGTGTGTGTGTGTGTGCGCGTGCAAAGGCGCCAAGTTTTCGGTGAGACTTTAACCACCAGTAAACAACAACAGAACCGCATAGAGACATCCACCAACAAAAAAAAAAGGACGAGTAAACCAAACCAAAAAACCAACAGAAAAAAAAGGAAAAGTCAAACAGAGCCGCCGGCCTTGGGAAGTTGTCACAAAAACCGCAATCAAAAATAGTAAACAAACTCGGGGAATTCGATAAAAATCAACAAGGGAAGACGACGCCGTTAAGTAGGCAACAAACCAGCTGCTGGCCAACATGGAAATGGACGTTAATCGCCCGACTGGCCGCCATGGCAACCTAATGACCATATCCGCCCGCTGCTCTAACAACAACTCGGGCCCGGCCACAACAGGAAACGGTGCCATAACCGGATGTGAGCCCAGTTCCGGTGCGTTGCCGCCCAGCGGCTGCTGCGGCATCTTGAGCCGCCTGTTTTGCGTGAGTCGGCACAAGGCCACCCAGTCGGTGGCGGGCAGTGATTTGCCCCTGGGACAAATGCAACTGCAGCAGCGCAAAGGTGCAACATCCGGCTGTGCAGCGGTTTCCGGACAGCGAAGGCGACGCACGCCACAGGAAATCTACTTCGAAAGTCGCGGCAAGTCCTGCAAGAAGCTATTGAAATTCAATGGTAATTCCAACAAGGTGAGTGGCTCTATATTTAGGCACTGAAAGAAAATAATGTTCTGGGTTTTTTATGGAATTTATTATTAAATATAGACTTTGGGAAAAATGGCTTAACTTATAGTAAAACCTAGTCCTCGGCAGGCTTTCAATTTTATTTTATAAACCGATTTCTATATGATATTCTTGACTTTTATTTTTCTTTTGTTACTGTGTATTTGGGCAAAACTCCAGTAAGTTAAGCAGCACAAAAGAAAGGATGATTCTGCTAGATTTATAGAAAATCCCAGTTCGCGTTCTCTTTTACATTAAGCATTCAGTGGAATGAAGTGGAATAATCAGGGCTTACTCAGGATTGTGAATTACATTTGAAAAAAAGTTAGTTTGAAAATCAATGGAAATTATTTATGTTACGTTAATAATAAAAGAATACTATACAAAATTAAATTTTCAACCCAATTAGTTCCAGCCGGACCCACTTCGCCTTTCGTATATATTTCAAGAGGCCCCAAAATGAATTCTTTTCTTGTATAGCAAAAAACACCTTAAGAGAATTCCCAATTCTTATCGCATAATGGAACAATTCCCCCCTTTCTGGAGCACACTGCAAACAATCCTAAAAGTGCATAAATTTTACAGTCTCCTGGTTACATTGTCATCCATTCCGAGGCAGAGACCCCAAAGCCGAAGCTCTGGCGCCAAAGTGCCAGGAGCCATGAGCCATGAGCCACTCAACCGTAAGGTAGCCAATACCCGGGGGTACTCTCAGACCCCCCGAAGAACCCTGCCACCCCTCCCGCACAATTATGCATATGCGAGTGTGTGTGTGTGTGTGTGTGGAGGCCTTTGTTATAAATTTTGGAAAATTTGTAGCCAAAGCTGTGGAGTGAAGTTCGCTCGATTGCTACCGGCTTGTTTGGCCTAACATAGGTAAAAGGCAACAACGTGGCATGGGAAATCGGGGAGGGAAATCGGGGAAAATAGGGGCCAACGCACACACACACACACACACACATAAGAACACGCTTATGCCACTTTGCATATAAATCATTTGGCATTGTGGCCAGAGAGCGCAATGCGCTTATGAAATATTTCGTTTGTTTAATGCGCCAAAGGGCAAACATTCCATTCTGCAGACCCACATTTTGCCCCCGGATCTCCCCGAAAAACCCACTAATTAAAAACGTGCAAAAAGAAAAGCCAATCAAACAGGTCGATGCACAACAATGGCCAGTTTGTGTCTCTCCTGTTTCCCGAAAACCCGAATAACGTAGATGTTCAAATAACAAAGTGCACTGAGAAAAGATTCGTTTAAGTTCAGGAGAAAAGGTTTAAATTCTTAATCAAAATGCTATAAATAAACGAAGACCAGAAAAAAGGCTTTAGTAAAGATTAATTTCTAAACAATATTTAATCTCTTTAAATAATTTATTAGTTATTTTTGATACAACTAAAGACTTTGGGCTATTTAAGTGCTTGTCTAAATAAGATTTAACGGGTAACAAAGCATTTTCAAGGCATTTTATTCTCTATTTTTTAACATTTTCTGTGTGTGTTGCATATTTGCACATCTCCGTTTTTGTGATTCAAATGCACATTTCACACACATACGCCCACAGCCACGCCCACAACCACTTGGAGTGTGCAATCTGCCGACCATCACGCACTGGAGCGCAAGCAACAGGATGAATTTGTTAAACAACACGAGCACGAAGGATCTGCAGCAAGCTCAGAATTGGGAACAGGGAACGACAGCGGGGGTGCAGGGGCGGGAGCGAGAAGTGAAAAGTGAAAAACCCATTCGCCCTATCAAGTGACATCATCAATTTCAGTCTATTTTGCACACAGTCGACTTGTGGCCCCCGTCGGACCGAGTCCAGTGCAACAATGCCAAAGGACATTAACACCCAGCCAGAGGAGCGCAGGAGTTATAGAGACGTTGCGGGGTTTCCCTGTAAAATTCAATTCGAAAAGCTTTAGTCGGTCATTGAATCAAGCGCTTTGAGCGGAAGGACCAAAGAGAACCAAGAGCCCGGTTCCTTTGATAATCAATCTCATTACCCTCGTCGTTGTAGCTGCACAATCAAGGGGTAGTTTACACTCCTTCTGCTACTCCTATTTCGCCGTCCTGCCCCCGATCGATTTTATAATGAAGCTATAGCTTAGTTAAAACAAAAAACTGTTTGTTTTGCGGGGGTGTGAGAGCGCACAGGATAAATTGTATCCACTTGCAGGAAGCAAGCAAGCCAGCAACCACCCAACATACCGAAGAAAAAAGCGGAAATCAACCCCCCAGGAAGGATGTACATATTTTTACGGATAACGTTGCAATGGAAATCTGTCGAGTGAAGTTTACCCTCTTAACCAAATGCGATAATGCTGTAAGATATATTTACATTAACAGCACCGGGGTTCGTTGGGTGGAAGGTGAGCTATGAAGGTGCAGGGCATAGCTGGGCACAACCGAATAGCCAAGGCGTTCAAGGATTTTCTTTGCCCTGTTTTCCCTATCCCCTTTGGCCAATTACCAAGGCAACTATCCACTAGTCCAAGCCAATGGCTAATTAAATACCCTTTGCCATTTAAATTCTGATATCTTGCGTTTTCACCATCTAATTAGCTTGACTTGCACAAAGGCTGTGGCAATCAAGGACTGTGGGTGCTCAAGCAGCGGAAAGAGTATTATGAAAAAATGAAGGACCTTTTGGGCGAGCAAGGCGGAAGTGACTAGCCAGTGTCCTCCGCCCCGTTTTACCACCCAGTTTTCCCACTGCTTCTGGGCCTGTCTGTGTGCCTGTGTATGTGAGAGCCTGTGCATACATATGCATAAAAAGGAAGAAAATGCCATCAACATTGCAACGTTGTAATTGCCAACAGGCAATGAAGAGCCGCAGCCAAAAGGATACGAGGGGCGGGCAGGAGAGAAAGCGCAGCAAACTGCCAACTGCCACATGTCCTGCCAGCTTGGCTCGAACAAAAAAGGAGTCCTCAGCCCGGTCACTCACCAGCAGCGAGGGTTGCTCGTGCAGTAGTCAAATAGAGACAGTCAAAAGGAAATTTCGGATTAAAGCCAAAAACTAACACCAAAATAAATATAAGTCAACTTTTCAGAGAAATTAATATGATAAAAAGTATCTAACAGATCACGTAAAAGCATTTCCTTTTCTTCCTTCTGATAACTGGGCCATCAAGTTTTCAATCTCACCCCTCAAAGGACATGTGCGTTGGGCCGACTGTGCGACATTTTTAGCACACGGCTAATGTGTTTTGGCCGACGCTGATGCTGCAGCAGCAGCATCAGTTCTCTGTTTCCAGAGCTTCCAGCTCTCAGCTTTCGGGGAGGAGATGGATGAGGAAGCTGTGACATGGAGATGGAATAACGAGAGGCTTGCGGTCCACTCCTAACTACGAACTGCACTGGCTGACTGATGAGCCTGGTGTCCCGGCGCCTGGTTTGCTGTTTGCCGATTTGGCCAGCCCCAACTCTATTCATTATAATCAGGCCTGATTATGTCTGGCCGAAAGTTAAGCGGGCCAAGTCAATTCGAGAGTGTATTTATTTAACTGGCGAACAAACTGGGAAGCCAGAAAAGGCTGTGTATAAAATAAAAAGTCATAAAAATGGACCGTTAATCCAAGTAGTTGAAACGGGACCCTTTTTATTTTTTTTTTCCTCTCTTTTTCTTCTTTTGGGGACGAGCAGATGAAGCGGTTGCCTTTATTTTTGGGGGGTCGTTCCCTACCCTCTTGCTCGCCAATGACGATGACAAGGGTGCTTTGCCGCCTCACTGACTAAATAAAATTGGAATTTATTATCATGATTTGTAGCAAGAAGAGGCAAAAGAGCCTCCGCCAAGAGACAGCGGCCAAATGGCGGGCATAAAAAGAGCAGCAGCAGCAGCAGCAGTAGCAGCAGCAACGGTCCATTCCTTCTCATCAGATCCCAACTCTGTGACTCATGCCGAATCCCGAACGCCTAACCCAAAGTCATAGACTTAGATAAGTGTGCGAGGCATTCTTAAATTTATATTCCCCGCCAGAGATTTAAATCGTTCTGGTCAAAGTTGAAGTCGCCGCCCACAAGCCTGGCAGTGGGCGTGGCAGTGGCAGAAGGCTTAACTGTGCAGCTTCTTTGCTGGTTTATTAGGGTTTTCCCGCAAGCGCTGCTAAGGCGATTTGCTGCTATTCAAGCTGATGCAGCTTCGGCCCGGACCACGGGCCGTATGCGCGATTTTGCTGACTAGTCCTGGTGGGCGCTTTTGTGGTAAGTGGCAACGGGCAACTGGCAACTGGCAACCGGAAACTAGAAACCAGCAAGTGGCACTGGCAGCTTAAAGCTATCAATGGGCAACTGAGTGGCAGGTTTTCTAATTGCAGCGACCGCAACATGAGCGAAAAGATTTATGAGTCAGGCGGTGGCGACTTAAAAGAGATTTTAAAACGATTTTAAACTGTTTCCAGTTTTGTATTCAGTTTCCTGTTTATTTAATATATAAGGCTTCTGGTATTTTAACATATATTTTTATTTAATAAAACTATTTACACAAAAGCTTTAAAAGAAAGAAGTGGTTATTCAACTATCCTTAAATGTTTCCTAGTTAATATTTATTATTTAACACAAATTTCTTGTTTTCCCCCTCATAAAAATATAAATTCCTTAAAGCTAACTTTCCATTTACACAAATTAATAAACACAATATTAAAAAGCCTTTTGAAAGTTGGCTTATCTTAAATGGCTTTTCTATATTTAAATTGTTATTAAATAACTAAGGTGATTTTTCCCTTTGAGCTGAAAATCCTTTCAGGCCAAACTGTTTGTCATATTTTATTACATTTTCTTTTATAAATGCTAGGCAATAGCTCAGGGCTATAAATATTCCAGAATGACAATATCCTGAAAGTCATACATATTTCCAAATTAAAATCTTTCATCAATCGTAAAAGCCACACCCTTGTCCCTAAGCCATGGCTTATGTTTGGAGCTGAATTTGAGAAACTATCCCAGCAACCCCAGCCATTAC